TTACTGACTGTATAGAGTTTCTCCATCTTTGGCTGCAGAGCACATAGTCAGTCTGATTTCTGTGTTGACCGTCTGGTGATGTCCATGTGTAGAGTCGTCTCTTGGGTTGTTGGAAAAGACCATCGTATTCTCTTGACAAAATTATATCAACCTGTGTCCTGCTTCATTTTGTACTCCAAGGCCAAACTTGCCTGTTATTCTGGTTATCCCTTGGCTTCCTACTTTAGCATTCCAGTCCCCCATGATGATAAGGACATCATGTTTTGGAGTTAATTCTAGAAGGTGTTGTAGGCCTTCATAGAAATGGTCAACTTCAGCCTGCTCAGCACCAGTGGTTGGGGAATAGACTTGGACTATTGTGATTTTGAATGGTTTTCCTTGGATTCAAACTGAGATCATTCTGTCAGTTTGGAGATTGTATCCCAGTACTGCTTTTCCTACTCCTTTATTGACTATGAAGGCTACTCCATTTCTTCTGAGGGATTCTTGCCCGCAGTAGTATACCTGATGGTCATCTGAATTAAATTCACCCTTTCCTGTCCATTTTAGTTCACTGATTCCTAAGATGTCGATGTTCAGTTTCGTCATCTCTTGTTTGACCACATGCAGCTTGCCTTGATTCATGGATCTTACATTCCAGGTTCCTATGGAGTATAGATCTTTGCAGCATCGGACTCTCCTTTCACCACCAGATACATCTGCAACTGAGTGTCCTTTTGGCTTTGACCCAGTCGCTTCATTCTTTCTTGCGCTACTAGTACTAGCCCTCCACTCTTCCCCAGTAGCATATTGGACACCTTCCGACCTGAGGGGCTCATCTTCCGGTGTCATATCTTTTTGCCTTTTGGTACTGTCCATGGGGTTTTCATGGCAAAGATACTGGAGTGGGTTGCCATTTCCATCTCCAGTGGATCACGTTTTGTCAGAGCTCTCTGCTATGACCTGTCCGTTTTGGGTGGCCCTGCATGGCATAGCTCATAGCTTCATTGAGCTACACAAGCCCCTTCCCCATGACAAGGCAGTGATCCATGAAGGAGAAATTTTAACTACAGACACACATTACAGCTATTTTGGGGTCTGCCAGGGGTTTAAACTTTAGGGAGTCCACATTAAGACCCACATGTTTTGTTTTTTTAAACACGCACAACAGTAATTTGCTTGAGTCAAGCCCTTAATACACAGCTTTACCTAGTTTGTAACATTTTAATGAGTACTACAATAGAGGTGGCAATGAGAACATGGGGAAACCATTTTTAAACAACCCCTACATATTACAGTCAAGAAATCGTAACCCCCTCCCCCCGTTTTCCATTTCTGATTAAGACATTTTCAAATGCTTTTCACAGTTGGAATGAACATGGCTGTTTCCACAAGTTCCCTGCAGATGAGTGGCTATTAATAATATTTAAAGTAGCCATAATGCTTTTTGTGGAAATATGAATTAAAGCATAATCTGTTTACATTTGTGGCCTTTATTATTTTAGTGAAAGCCAGGTCCTGACAACCTTCCATCTGCCAGTGAGAAAGGGGGAAATTCAATGGGAAGATGTTGCAAAAAGTGCAGTTCCAGGCAAGGGGTCATTGGATGACTTAAACAGGTTTTGTCTGGTTCACAAAGAATTTTACTTTGCCTGAAAACATGTCCTATAAGATATGTAGAAGGAAGAGTGTAAGATGAAATTATGTCAGGTCAATCCAGAGTCCATAAAGCCAGGGGATTTAAATCAGAGCTGGGGAACCCATGAGAGCCAGTGTGGTGTAGTGGTTAAGAGCATGGGACTGGGACCCAGACGATCTGGGTTCTAGTCCCCGCTCGGCCATGGAACCAACTGGGTGACTTCGGTCCAGTCACAGACTCTCGGCCCAACCTACCTCACAGGGTTGCTGTTGTGGGGATAAGATGGATGATGTAAGCTGCCTTGAGCCCTTTGTAGGAAAAAGGCAGGATATAAAAATAAATAAATAAATAAATAAATAAATAAATAAATAAATAAATACCCCTCCTGCCAGTGCTGGACCCCATCAGCCCCACTCCTGATTTCATTTTAAGGACAATGTGGTCAGAATCTGGTTGTGATGAGTGTGTGTGTGTGTGTGTAAATTAAGTGAGGTAAAGGATAGATATGCTGCCATATCCTTTCATCCTACCTGGTATCTTTGCATTGCACAGATCACTACTTTGCAGAAGAACAATGGCAACTCAACATAGGTGCCCTTCCTTCCTCTTTACTGAACTTGGAAAAATCTTGGCAAGCCTCTCTTTTCTGCCACTGGGCTAAAGGGAATGGTAGTACTGGATAGTATCCAACTGCACCCGAACCCTAGAAGGAACGATGTTACATTAGTGTAAAGTGACATTTGTACAGCTAGAGCACTGAGGGCAATGGGAAGCAGAGATTTGCTACCCTAGAGTTTTGCTGCTAATTTCCAGCAGCAAATTATCACTTTTCCCCCATTGCTCTAGCAAGTGCTAGCTCGCCTATGCAGGCATTGCTTTACACTAGCACATCATCATTAGCACTAGTGATGGGACACAGTGGAACACTGCCAGGTACCATCATTGCCTTTACCCATATAGCAGGAAGGACATCGGAGCAGTGTTAACCTTCTTATAAATTTCACAAAAACCTCATCACCTAGAAAGTCCGTTCACATGTTCACTCATAACAGGTTAGAGCAGGAGGTAGCCTGTGGTCCTCCTGATGATGATGTACTGCAGGTCCCATCAGCCCTAAACTGCATAGCCAATGGTTAGGATTGACGGGTGTTGCAGTCCAACCACCCCTGGAGGACTGTAACTGTAACTGGCTGAATACTGCTAGTTGCTGACGTTGCAGTTGATTCTTGCTTCCAGCTTTTGATAAGCTGCTTTTCCACACACAATTATTTGAGTAGGGATACAGTTTTAGCTAGCAATCCTATTGAAGTCAATGGGACTCTGAAAGCTCATGACTGAGGCCAATCTTTCATTCTTTGAAAGTGTGGTAAAAGCTAGCTATTAGCATAAATGAAAATTGGAGATTTCATCCAGCAATGAGTTCAGCCAGAAAATCAGAATGTTCTTTGCAGTCATTTGAAACACACACACATTGAGGAAACATTGCTATAAAACAGTTCTATTTTATTGAAAGATGTGGCTGAAAATATAATTAAAAACATGTTGGAAACAATGTATAACAGAAGGCTATGTATGTATATACAGTATGTAAAAAGCCTTTTATTTTTATATTTTGAACACCTTAAATTAATAAAAGAATCATGAAGATGGATCTGATTTCTTTGTAAAAGATCTTTCACTCTTGCACTGCAGTGGAGGGTTTGTCATAACTGATGACAAAATGACCCTCCCAAAAGACTTGCCTTCGGTATGAAACAAAGCGAACTGATTACTTTTGTGTTGACTTTAGCTACTGAAGCACATCTTGGAAAAGTCAGTGTGGTCAAATGGAGACAAAAGAGGTATTTTCATTTTCATGTCAGGACAGGTATCTTTAAAAATGCTGAGAAGGCACCTCTGTTTTTATTGTGCAGCATGTGTCTCTATAATCCAATTTTAACAGAAGGAAGAATGTAAATACTGCAACTCATATTGTAGAATTTACATGCAATCTTGGAAAGATAAGGTTGGATACAGACTTAATCATGCATAGAGCAGACCCATTGAAATCAATGGGACTTAAGTTAATCATGACTAACATGTTCCATTAATTTCAGTGGTTTTACTCCAAATAAGAGTTAGACTAGATCAAGCACATGGCTTTGCAAATCTTTTCAGAAACCGCACACACAGGTGCTTAGAATCTGAACCCTACAGGATGCATACCCAAATATACAACACTTCACATGACACCAGCTTCCACTCCCAAGTTTCACACTTTTTAGGAACCAAATCTCTCTGCACAATTAATTCCAAAGAATGGGACAGAAAACACTCCTGGACTGACAGCCTTGGCTGTGGCCTTCGCAGGACAAAATTCTTGCTCAGATGTAAAACAAAAACTGAAGCTAACTTTAATGTACATGCAGCAAACGCATTTGGAACCCCACTGAGAAAAGGCTGCATTTCTGCACTAAAATCTCTTTCCTCAAGCTTGCTTTTGCTTTAAAAATGGTACTGTGGTTTTGTTACATGATAGTTACATGTTACATGCTACCCCTTAGGTAGTCTAAGGGGTTGAATTAGATGTTATGTCATGCATGAGTTTGGTGCTGCAAGCAGCCACACCCTTAAGCTCTCGCCACCCCATAATGCCTAATACAGGGAAAAGCAACTACCAGTCCTTAAATCTAATCCAGCTTGTCAAGGTTGCCCGTCCAAACTGCTGGGCTTCTGGATACTCAAGGCTGGTCATTCAACCCTACACCTGCTTTTTCTGACAGTTATGCATGATCCTTTCCAAAGAGACGTGATACCTCCACCATTGTCCAATTCTGACCAGGAGAAACACCAACAGTATACCTGTTTTATTTTTTTTTAAGCTATGATAGCAAACAGGAAGTTCAAAACCTCAGGTTTCTGGACCTTGACATGAATACTGAGGTGAAGCGGATTGATTCTGAAATGTCCAAGTGGGCTGGGCCAGTTTCTGAAGCACCAAATTGGCATCTGAGTTGAAGCAGCGGTTGATGCAATCCTGTTCATCTTTCTTCACAGGAGCTGCACTCAAATGGCATGTCACTCCCAAAGTCCATCCATACAGCATATTGAGCTGCCATTCACTTTTTTCAGTTTTAGAGAAGTATATTTTATCCTTTAAAAAAATCTCCCATTTCCCCCTACATGTCCAGTAGCTTAAAATGCATTGATATAAAAGGGACAAAAAAAAAGGGGGGGGGGGAGAGAGTATGTGTCTGTGTGTAAAGGGGGGGAAGCAGTTTTAGTACCAAAAGGTACATATTGATAGTAATCATGTAGAATTAGCTACTGTCCCTTACGCCCTACCTCAAACAGAAGGTATAGAACTAACAGAAATAAGATGGAACTTCATAATAACTGGGAAAAACTGCACATTAAAGTAAGCTAAAGGTTACATTGTGATGGAAGCCCATGCTTGCTTAGCAGGAGTTCTTTGGTGCTACATTACAGTGGGGAGTGGCACTGAAGGCAAAAGCAGCGTATTTTCATTTAAAGCTTGTGCTGCCAGTTAATCAAATTTTGGTGGGGCATTTCAGCACTTGAGAATGGGGAAAAAACTGCACAAGGCATTGGGAACCACAATCAGAGGGTGAGTGATAGGGAGGGAAGGGAGCACAGCTGTCTGAGGAACTCTGCAGTACCTGATTAGGCACTAGGGAACATATTTGGCCCCTTGTCCAGAGGTTCCCAATTCCTGCCAGAGGGACACAGCTCCTGACCCTTCTCTGCACCATTTTCTTGCTTAAAAGCACAAGAAATAGGAGCACCGGTGGCAAAGTGCAGCTTCCCTGTGGGGTGGAGGGACTCTCATCAGGAGAGACACCTTGGAGAAAGTGCTGAGCCCTCATTCCCCTAGGATTAGTCCAAATAGCGGAGGAGCGGGAGTACGGGATTCATGCATTAAAAGAGTGTATTGGCACCACATTTAGGCACATGCAACTGGACAGGTGGAAACACACTTCAGTGCCCTCACCTCCCCACAGCACCTCATCCAATCCCCTGAAAATGCTATTCAGAGAACCAGGACATTGTGCTGAATGAGGTGAACTGTCATGCGCTGTGGAAGGGGGAACCAAAAATCAAGTGGAGCGATATTCCACAAACAGAGCCCTTCCCCTTGCAGAAGAGAAAGATCACATATCTAACGAAAGCAGCAGCACAGAAGGCTACTCTGCACTTGAAGAGTGAAGATTTTAATGTGGCCTTCAAAACTCTATGAGGTGGATCCAGGCTGCATATTATAACTAACTTAAGTCCTATCAATTTCAATGGGTTTACTCAATGACAGAATGTGGATCCATTTAAAAAAATTGATAATAGTCAACATTGCTGCTCAGGTTAGCAAGAATGCATACAATGGGCTGGTCGAAGTGGATTTCTCTACTTCCACACAGCCCTGCTGGCCCCCTGCAAACACTACACAAAGGACTTGGCGAACCCTTGGAGAAGGGGGTGAACTATGGTGAGAGGAAAGGCACTTACTTATAAAAACTGAGTAGCAAGCTTTCTGCTCATGCAGACTTTCCATAATTAGAAGGCATAACTTAGATCCAATGCATGCAGTCTTTCTATTAAAAGAAGGCATAACTTAGATCCAACCTAGGGATTGCAAAGTTGAAGGTTATTTTGGTTCATTTGGAGCAGGAGCATGCAAGTACAGGTTAAAGGGAAAAATATGAGAGTAACACTAATGCAAGGATAGACAAATAAGGGGGAGGGACTGTAAAGGAAAATTGGAGGATGCTTAACTCTTGCCTCCAGCCAATTCTCTTTTTCACACATCCTCCCACAATTTTCAGTTGGGTTTGGCAGCAGACTTTGTTAGATTTTTCTTAGGAATTCTAGTTTGGAGACATTTCCACCAGTGGGAAGGGAAGAAGCACCCTTTGTTGATTCCTCCCACTGCAGCAAGCATCCCTCCAAAAGTCTGCTCTGAAGATTTGGGAAACTCTTTGGAACAGGATGGTGGATGATGCCATGGAAGATATTTCTCTGAGTGTGGGGGCTGGAATTGGCAAAAGTCATCTTTCTCCACTTAATCCCAGTGGTATCATTCTGCTGGATCAAATCCTTCCATAGATTGAAGGAATAGTGTGAAATAAAATGAAAATATTAAATGTGGCCCTTTTCTCTTCTACACGAATTAATGCACAAATCACGAGTCAAATTATTTGGGAATAGCAATCCAAACCAGATCTTGCTGACACAGGTAAATAAGTGGGTACTTATTGGAAAAGATGTGAATGTAAGAGCACAGATAGTCATAATTTTTGTTTATTGAATTTTATGTTTCCTAACACTTCCTTCTTCAAAACTGTACCCAACTGTGTAATCCTGTGTCAGTCTACCAGAATAAAGTCCCATTCAATTCAATCGGAGTTACTCCCAGGAAGGTGACTATAGGATTGCATCCAAAATTAAAGCTTTAATGTACAGATCTATGTTACATTGTTTAATCAAGCAAAGGCAGGTGGCTATTTAATAAAAAATAAATTTGCTTGACAGCCCAACTTTTTACTCTTTGAAAATATACTGTCTTTATAATGTTTTTTTTTTTTTTTTTTTTGGACTGATGCATGTATTTTTGTCTGTTACTGAAATATAATTTCAGGATTTATTCCTGGAAAGAGTTTGGTGCTATCAGCGTTCATTAACTTCAGTGATGGCTGAGTGAGAAACCATTTTGCTGAGGGTCGGAAGGAGGGAAAGGGGTTGCTTACAGCTTGATACCAAAACATATATTAGTCTGTTGCCTTAGGTGTGCCGTTTTGATCACCAGTTTTCTTGAAGCCACCCATAAGTGTACTCATAAACCAGAAGCATCACTGCACCACCTATAAAAAAGAACATTATTTTATGAAACACACAATCATATTCTCTTCAAGATTTATGCAGCTTTAGAAATAAGACAGTTCAGACCCTTCTACACAAATTGATGCAAAACCCATGATTCAAATTATTTGGTGACAGCAATCCAAATCAGATCTTGCTGATGCAGGTAAATAGGTGGGCACTCTTGAGACAGATATGAACTTAAGTGCACACATAGCCTCAGACATTATATCAAAAATACATATATTGAATCCAATCCATACCCAATGCTGAATGAATGAATGAATGTGCATATAAAGTACCCATGATACAGGCTAATAACATCCCACACAAAAAGTCATCGGCTTGATTATATGGAAATGGACACATTCCTTAAAAGTAAGGAATGCAGGTAGTGATTTCCATGGTTAGAAATAAATCCTGAACCTATTCCAGGCAAGTGGGTTAACAGGGACAGACTTGACATAAAAGAGGTGTACAAAACTTTGAGTGGTATAAAGAAAGTGTACAGAAAAATGCTTTTGTGCCTCTCTTGTAATACTGGATCCTAAAGTTATCCTACAAACCTGACTGGTGGGAGATTCAGATAAAACAATGTATTTTGTCACACACCACATGGTTAAACATTTGCAACCACAAAATGCAGAGATGGCACCAACTTGGATGGCTTTAAAGGGGTTTTGACAAATTCAGGGAGGATAACAGTGACGTGTTCAAGTCCTTTACTCCAAGTCTTGACTCAAGACATTGCAAGAAATTTTAGAGGCAAGTCTCAAGTCTGTCCCTCCTCCTGTCCCCTTGTCCCCCCCCCACTGCCTCCCTCATACCAAAAGCAGAGCTGAAGCCTTCCCTTTCTACTATCACAAGCCCCTTCTCCCTCTGCTGTGCTCATGCCTGCCTTCAGAGATTGACCCAGAGAGCAGAAATATTGAGTTGAGTCAAGATGAGCTGCTCATTGCTCCCAAGTCAAGTCCAAGTCAAGTCCCATAAGAGTCGGACTTGAAAGTGAGTCACTCAACGTGATCCCCCAACACTGGAGGATGCAGCTATCAATGGCGAGATACTAATCATGATGACTATTATTACCTCCAGCACTGGAAACAATTTGCCTCTTCTTGGGGAACAAACTTCAAATACATTCAATGCTATATAAATCTATTAAACAAGACTGACAACAATAATAGAGACTAGTGTACTGCTTGTGGGCTTCCCATAGGTAGCTAGGCGGCCACTGAGTGAATGGACTGCTGGATTAGACAGGCCTTTGGTCTGATCCATCACGGCTGCCCTTCTGTTTTTAGACTTTCCCTTCCCCAGCCTCCTTCTGTTTTCCTGCCCTTATGACAATATTGCAACCTGAGCAGTGAGCAGTTGCAAGGAACAGATGGAGGGAACACCAAGCGCTAAAAGAAAAACATAATGCTGTAATAAGAGAAATAATTTATATAGCAGTGTAATTTCACTGTTAAAATGTTTGTATGTGTATATTTTGTGCTTTAATGGATAAAAGCAAAGTTTACAAACAATCAAGGCAAGATTAAAAATATAATCAAGGCAATACAATCAAGGCAAGATTAAAGTTACCTGGGCCTAGCCTCATGATTTTAGGAACCAAGCCTTTGTACAAAGCTAGAAATCTGGAGAAAAGAATGAAGAAGTGTTTATTGAAATGGATAGCAGAAATGCTTTATATTTGTTCCATTCCTAAGACAATGCATGGAAAAAGTTACATGGAATAATAAATGTACAGTGTCTGTACTCTAGCATCTTAGACTGGGCTCAACAGCTTATTAATATTCAGCTACAATGGCTATGTTGCGCTACCTTCATTCAAAAACATGGCTTTAATTAATGAGACATTTGCAAGATGACTTTGTTAATAGCAGCTGCACTGCATATGAAATGTCATGGTGATACGTGAAACTTCCATGGTTGAATTCTTGCTATAAATGGATTTATGTCCGTAAAATTCAGGGTGCTGCTGTCATAGTGATCCTTCAAATGAGATACTTTGCATTGGACCAGTTTCTTACAAACACACCAAAGAAGCCGATGTTTGCATTGTCACCCTCCTACTCAAGCTAGAATGGAATGGTCAACAACAATATTTAAAGTCCCAAAAAGCAGAAAAAGGGGAGAGAAGCGGGGGCAGAGAGGCAGAGGGAGACAGGCTAAGATGAATGTGATTTTCGTCATGGTCATCTATGGACAATTTCAAATGTTTTCACACATCCGTGACATGCTTATAGAAGGGCTGACATGCCGGGAAAGCTCCAGTAGCATTATTTACAGTAGCATGATTGGTTTCCTGGAAATTGGTTGTGTTAGCAAGCACTATGCATGTTGTGCAAATGTTGGTTTCTGCTACTGCAAGATCAATAACATGAGCAACTGGACACTGCTGCATCTCTTTGGTGAGAAATAAGTTTTTGAGGTCAGACTAGGAGCAAAGTCAGATGTGCACAAGTGGACATTTTTAGAATTAATTAGAACAATTCTTTTTCTTTTAGCTGTGCATTGCCACTCCCTGAAAGTCCAATTTTGAATGTGACTTTCTAATGCTACTATATAGGGATGCATGGATTTTGTTAACTCTGCATCATCAATGTTTCTTGTTCAGTTGTTTGCTTACTGATGGTATCCAAATTTGTTTTTATGGATGCATGGCAATTTTGTTTCCCTTTGTCAATGAACATTGGTGGTAATATGTATTAGTAGTACTGTACATTAGCAGATTGCGCAGTTGTGCACATCCCTTCAAATGTAAAAAAAAAAAAAATGGTTTACAAGTCAGTAGAGTCTGCCTGAATCAGAAAAAGCCAGTCCACTCCAAGATCTGCAAGTCAAATTCATAGGAACTCTAAATTTTCATCTCTTGCAGATTTCTCTCTTAGCACGAGAGGGATAATTAGCCTTGGCAGCTTGGTGTGTAGCAGCGAGGTGTCTGGGCCGCCAATGTCCCTGCTTCTGAAGCGGCCAATCAGTTGCTGACAGTACTGGTACTTCTCTGCTCCTCTATGTAAAAGGAACAGCCAAGACCTTCAGCTGCTCTCTGGACTTGGGACGGCCATTATAACATTGCTTTCTTCAGCAACACAGCACTTCAGTCCATTTTCATCATTCACGACTGGAACAATTACACAGAAGATACCTTGCTTTTCTAATTGATCAGCAAAAGACTGCAAGTTTGAAATAAGTCTGCAAGTATCAAACTGATTCTAAGGTATCTAAACAAAGATGTTCTGCTACAGATACATGAGCCATTTTTAACAAATGTACGCATGCATGCACAACGTAATAATACCTTTGCAAATGAAAATCCAGATATAGGAATACATTTTCTTTCAATTAGTTATATGCACATTTCTGGAATGCTAAACCTTTGAGCACTGCTGATATGTAAGCATTGTGCAGGGTGGTTTTTATGGGCCTCATCAAACCTGAAATATAACAATGTGGTTTTATGGACTCCTATGAATAAACCAGGGGCCTGGGCATTTATGATTGAAATAAGAATGCTTTACCCTTCTTCTTTATAGACCGTTGCCATAGTTTTAAAACAGGTCCTGTACTTGATCTCTCCAGGAACTGGCTGCGGTCCTTGAATCCTACTTTTCGCAACATCAAAAGGGATGTTAATAATCGAGGCTATTGTTCCTGAAATGAGTCCGATTCCAAATTTCCTCAGAAACTCCAAGGCTGGATCCTAGATAAACAAACAAACAAGCAAGCAAACAAATGAGGAAGAGGGACAGAAAGAATGAAGGAAAGGCACTAAAAGAGGAACAGAAGCACCTCAATTGGTTAAAGACTATAAAGTAATATGCATTTAATCAGAATGCTTGCACGACACGACACACTCCTGTTATTCTAGCGGAACACATTAGGATTTCCTACACTGGGGCTTGTTTTCTTGACAATCCGATTGGCTATGTTTTTACACATGGTCTAAATTGCTGAAGTACACATTTCCTCACACAGGATTTATAAACACAGTTCATAAAGCAAGACCGGTACGGCATATGGGGATGATTTGTATAATTGGGCTTCACAATGTACTTAGTATTACTGTATCAAAACGGGAGAAATCCAAGCACACTATTAGCTAATTGGCCAGAATATTTTACAAATGACAGCAACTTCCACCATGAAGCCTACTAAAATGCTCATTTGTGTGTTGGACCCCCAAATGTTAAATTAAATAAAGGCTAATCTCAGTCTGCTGCTTTCCCCTCCAGGTTTTTTACATTTAGTTTCACGTGTGTAACTGATGCACTGTACTAAACAGCACTGGCTTCCTGCTATTAACAATCCAACAGCGGTGCAACGGCGAAGCAGACTTCAGCGCCGGGCACATTAGAAACAGTAGTAACTCACTAAGCTAATTGGCTGAAGAATTTACAACACATTGTTCCCAAAGCCTACTATTTGCCCTGGCAAAAAAACGGAATTGGTTGTAAAGCCAACCTCGAAACAACGTTTTTCTGTATGAACTGAGACAATCCAACTGTGTTTGTATTCCCTCAGACAGCCTTCCTACCCAGGTACTCTCCAGAACATCAAAGTGCTCAATTAGTTGATTTGGAAGTGAAATTTTCCTTAATAAAGTCTAATCCCATATGTGTGAATACTAGAAGCTGAAAGTGAATGCTGTCATACTAAATTTCCTGGGTAATTTATAATAGGACTTTAAAAAATCTTCAATTTTACACGGTGGAAGAAAGAAATACAGTCTCTAAATGCTCAACGGTATGCTAAATACAGAGCGTGTTTATTCCATTGCGTGGCAACGAGATCCGCAAAAGAGAGCAAGTCAACTGTAAAATCTTCATGCCGGATCATGCATGATCCTGAGCAGCAACTTGCATCTGGCACTGCAAAAGCTCAAATCAAACATTCATTTCATGTGAACACCCATACTTTAGAAATTCTCTCTTAGATAGATGGAATATATATGTGTGTGCATGCACACATGTATTTGCCCATGCAGTCACAGGCTTCTCTTAGAATACACTAGCATCCTACTTTTGCTTCCAGTTTCAGAGTTTGCATATCACTCCAAAAAGAAGCTGGCATGAAATACTGGAGCATTCAGCTGATGGGGCCTGCAATGCCCTTGGAGCATCCCCACATGCTATGAGGACATGGGTTCACAGTTCAAGCCCTGTACTACTTTTAGGAATCAGAGGCGTTGCATTTTCCCCCAGACAATACAACACGGTACAAGACAATGCAATACAATACAGTATTGGCTTAAGGGATGCCAATGTTGTGTTAAAGGAGTAGTTTAACTGCTTTGGTATTTAGGATTCAGATTTCCAAGTTTGCCTTTTACTCATTTATGGCCTTGCTCATGCTCACTTTCTTTTCCCACCTCTGTCTTCCATTCAGTCTGGAGCCTTAGGCAAGCCAGGTTGTCTCCATCTAGTCAAAAGATAGGCAGCACACAGCCCATGGGCCTCAGGTAGCCGCCACAGGCAGCCCATGGGCCACAGGTAGCTGCCACAGGTAGCCCTACACTGCCCCAATGTGCCCAGATTTAGGAAGGAAAAAAGCAAGATGATTTGCAAGCTAATTTTAACCTTTTTGAGGTTCCACAGCTCATATAGGCCAAAACTCATGTACAGATTGTATTCTAGTTCTACATGTGTGTGCATGTACAGCTAGCTGAGGAGTTTCCAAGAGGCAAAAATCATCCATGAACCTCCAAATTTGCCTACCCTGATCTAGTTCAACACTGTGTTTCCAGTGGTGGCCAGCTAAGTGTCTTTGTGTTCCACTGGGCCTGGATTCAGATTTAGCCACACTTGTAGACCCAGTGAAATAAATAGGAATTAAGATACATAGCCAGAGACAGTTTAAGTTCCACAGATGTTAATGAGTCTGTTGTAAGAATGATTATATCTGGAGCCAACCATTGCGGCTTATCCCAATAGTGAAATATAGCTTCTGAACATAGCGTCATCCCATTTGGTGATCGAGCCTTGTAAGACAGTTTTGTAATGAGCAATGAAGAAAGGTAGAAGGTTCTTTAGACCACAAGAGTTTTGAATGTGTGAAGCCAAGGAAATGCACTGAAGAACTGCCTGAAAAAGTAGGTGGGACTTTTAGAAACCCCACCTTCTGGAGTGCTCGTATATCTTCAAGGAACGGTAGGGAGTCATCCAACCACCTCATTTATGGCATGATTATTTGTTCATGTTTTCTAAAATGAGCCACTTACCTTATGGACAGGAATTATGTTTTTCACATTGAAGTAGAATCCAAAATAAACCATATTAAATACTCCATGACGCCCCAAGGTAGCAGATAACCCCTTGTTGAGCCCTTGGAGACCTAGGCCATGGGCCCGAATAATCTGCTGAGCTTTGGCAAATGTAGATGGTTGCTGTATGAACAGAGCAAAATGCCACAAAGAATGACATTTAAAAAAAACAGGTTTCACAGCTTTATTTTTAATTTAAAAAGCTCAGTTGCAAAAATTACAATGAAGAAATAGCACAATGCATAACAAATTATTATTATTACATTGCATTTATATCCCACTTGTTTCCTCTTGAGAGGAACTCAAGGGGGCTTACAAAGTTCTCCTCCACTCCCTTTTAATCCTCATAACAACAATCTTGTGAAGTGGGATTGGCTGAGAGTCTGTGACTGGCTCAAGGTCACCCAATGATCTTCATGGCCAAGCAGGGTCTAGAACCTGGATCGTCTAGGTCCCCATTTGAGATACTCTAAGCACCATACTACATTTCACTAGGTGAAATATATCCTACATAGAAAAAATGTATCCTTTTTACCACTTGCCTATTTACAGATATATCTATTGAGAATTCTGTTATCACACAGAATTCTGTTATCAGATACACTGAATGAACTGGTAAAGATTCCATGGATAGTAGTTAGTGAGGGCTGTCCCACATGGTACATTGTCACAGGAACAGAGGAAGCAGTCTTGCTTGTGGAATCAAACTACTGGTCCATCTGGTTTATGGGAGGTATAGTCCAAAACATCTGGAGGATACCACATCATCTACTGGGGTTCTGGCAAGGGCTTTTTCCAGCCTCTCTGGAGAGATCAGGGACTGAACTTGGGACCTCCTGCATGCACTGCAGATGGTGCACTGCACAAACTATGACAAAACTGCATGAAGCACGAGAATGTGTGTGCATAATTTTATCTTTATTTCTATGTGAAGTAACAGAAACTATCAGGCGCCATAAGGAGTCTTTTTCAGGACGCAGTGCTAACAAGGCCATACAAATACCTAAGCCCACCTGTGTACATGACTACACACGCATGTGATTTATTGAATCATGCTGTCTGTGGACAGATTCTTGGCACAAAACATGGGTAAAGCTTAAGCAGATCTGAAAGAGCAACTGAAGGTGCTCCTGGAAAGGTGGAATGCTCCTCAGTTGTGGGGCTGCATGTGTGGATATGCCTATCAGAGAGACTTGTCTTCTCCTGACTGCACCTGTTTTAACGTCCCAAGCACGAGTGCGTTCTCTCAAACCCATGATGGTAATTTTGCCAACCTTCTGCTCTGCTGGAACAAGCAGGACTCCAGTTTTGCCGTAATGGCAAGTGAGTGAAATGGCAGCCCCACCCAGCGCACAGTGGAATCCTGTACAGTGTCTCACTGGAAATGTAGTGCCAGAGAAATGTTGCACTGCCAAGGCATGAGACGAAGGATGTTTTGGCAGCACACTGGCCCAGCCGCGCCACACCTGACTAGCAAGGGACATTGTTTTAAGTACACCTGTGCAATACTTTGTTTATGCCTCAGCAACTGAACCTTCTTCCTAATACTGACAACATGTCACCTCATTTTGATCATCTTGACAAGGAAGTCTCCAAGCTTTGCCAATCAATGAATCACAACCTGAAGGAGATGTGCCAGTTTTTCAAGGCTGCTTGTTCTAAGCAGCCATTGTGCTCATCCTAGAACTGTTCTTCAGTTTATCATGGAAATCTTGAGATTATAGCCCATTTCAGGTGTTTAGAAGGAACAAGTAGAGGGCAAAGGATCTGCGTGCAAAAGCTCTGCCCACAATGGCCCTAGTTGAGCAAGAGTGAGCTTCGAATATTCAAATCTGGTACCTTCCAGATGTTTGACTACAAGTCTTATAAGCCCCAGTCAGCCTGGCCAATGGTCAAGGATCATGGGGTTTACAGCTGAAAACAACCAGATGGAATCAGGTTGCCTATGTCAGGATTTGACAAATGCACAGAAGATAGATAAGGCTATTCATGGCAAGTGACCACGACAGTGATACATCATCTGCCGTTTCAGAAGTAGTAGGCACCTTGGCTGCTGCAACAGAAGGCTGCTACTGTGCCAATATCCTGCTTGCGGCCTCCCACAGCATTTGGCTGTCCGCTCTGGGAACAGAGTGCTGGCCCGGACAGGCTCTTGTGCTGGCCCAGCTCGGCACAGCTCTTCTCACACTGTTGTCTGCAGCTTCCTCCCCAGGGACTGAGATGTGGAGGCTGGGGCTCATGTTCGCAAGCCTGCTTCTGCCTCTTCTCTTCTCCTTACACACTCTTGACTGTAAAGACCAGAAACTCTCCTAGGTTAGAACGTACTACACCAAAGGGAACATGCTGGTTTCCTATTGGAGCTTTCTGATCAGCGATTGCAAACGTACTGCAACCTTTGTTTTCAGACCATCTGGTATAGACTCTGGCCAAGCAGAGGATATTTTCAGCTAGAGGAACTTTGCATCTAAGTTGTGCAACTATTTCTAAATTCATAAACTGTAAAAATTCCAATAGGGAACAATGCATTATTGTGGGACATTCCTTCTAACAATTTAACTGTTATGTCTTTAGCTCTGGGTTAAAGATTATTTTTCTAGTCAACTGTTTGCTTGCTTAGCTTTGCTTTTTGCTAATGTTACCTTTGTATAATCAAATATTTAATTAGAAAGGGAAAACATGGCTTCCGCTAGGATGCTTAAACAGGGAAATGAAAGCAAGTTTGACTATAGCTCTGTAAATGGTGCTAATTTCAATATACTTATTTGTTTAATGAACTTCCATTGCAAAATGCCAGCAAAATGATCTATCAAATCAGCCAAATGATACTAATAATAACCAACCCATTAGGTTAGTGCTTATTCAGGTGACAGACAAGCTGACCTTTCTTTTACTATTTTGTTTCATGTCAATTTCCATAGGTTGAGTAAGTATTTATGGCTTGGTCTGCATGCTGGCTGGGGAATACTGGGTGTTGTAGGATTTTTTTCTGTCTAAACATGCATAGAATTGTCCTCTGAGTGATCTATTTGGAAAAGTCTTGAGAAAACAAACATTCAGCTGATTCTGCAGACATTTTTAAGGTTGTACTCAAAATGAACAATAAGAAATCAGGGCAAAACTGCTTTGATGCATGTGATGTATCTGTGGAATCCCCAAGTATGATCCGAGTAAAGTTAAGGGATATTAGAAGTCCTATTGTATACGTATTTGTTCAAAATTAAGTCAAACTGAGTTAAGAGTTAGCAATCCTAAATGGAGTGAAGAAGCAACTGGGCCTCTAATCTGCCATTTCCAAAGTCCAAATGGTGTGGGCTGGCCAGAGTGGGAATGAAAAAGGGCATTCTTGCTGTTTTGATTCTCTCATGACTTTTTGCTTTTTAAATCCCTCTTCCCAATTTCATCAGGCGGGAACAATCTGATGTCAGCTACAGAATGGCATTAATAGAAAACCTAATCCTGGCTCCCTTGGAGGAATAAAAGGTCCCTGGATCCAGGGTAGCCTCAGCTGACTACAATCCAAGCCTGCTCCATGCCTCAGTTACAACATTAGGGGGCATGCTGCTGGCAGGAATACTACTGTTGATGGATCAGTACATGCTGAGCTTTCTGTATACTGGGGGCATTCCGTATACGCACAGCCCCCAACAGAGCTCTTTTCCACCAGGAGATGGCTATTTCTGCCCAATTCTAGTTTCCTCTACCCAGCAGAACTGAGTTTTGGATTGTTCTGTTAAGCTGCTGTCTGAATCACGCTGCTGCAGTAATAATTCATATGGGATTCAGTGGAACTTGCTTTTGAGTAGACATGAATAGGGTTGTACCATTAGTCTGCAGGAGAAAAATGGTCTCTAGTTTTTCTGTTAATCATGGCACCCTTCAGCATACAATTTGTTTATGACCTATTATTACGGTGATTTTTATGATTGCCTTTATACTCTAGCCATGAAAGTGGGTGCCCAAACTGCTCTGTGCTTCAAGTGCCATCCAGTATTTAAATAAGAACCTTTCTGCATCTTTATTATATTTTGAGTGAAAATATGTTAATAACTAAAGAGCAAAACCAAACCTCAATTATTTAAATTATTTCTCCCAGTTTTCCCTCTTTTCTTTAGAAAGCACTCAAACATATTCAAACACGTCAAGACATACTGTTCACTGGTGGAATCATTTCTGTTGCATTTGAAGTCAAATACCTTGTTTATTTATACAAGAGTCTTGTATGAAAAGCATACAGAACGGGGGGGGGGTGGGGAGAGAGAGAGAGAGCGAGAGAGAGAGGTTAGACTTCTGTATGCCCCTGGAATTAAAGGCACTGGTTACAAGTACTCTGTAGTAGGGGCTACAAGAGTGAAAGTTCTATGGAGAGCGGGGGAAATACTCTTCAAAGAACTCCATCCTGCAAGTGCCCATGCAATCTTTAAATAAGAGTCTTTGGTATATAATACAGACTTGGTCCTGTTGATTGGAGGACTAGGGACAAATTAATCTGTCAACTATGACTTCTCATTTCTTGATCTGTCCTATTTCTATATATATATTTTAAAAGTCTCTAGAATGTATAATTTTCTGTGCTTTTTCTCTTCATATATGCATCTTTGTACACAATTTTGCCCAACACACACATAGTTTGCAGTTTTCCCTAGTATCATCCATGTTTGTATGCTGTTTTCACAAATCCACTCATTTGTTTGCAACAGTCCCTAATAGTTTAATGCATATTTTGATCAGAAGAACAGCATTGCTAAATTCAGGTAAGAACAAATACTGAAGGATAATTGCATTTTGGTTTTGTGTTGGTTCAGGCAGTTTCAGATTAAAATACCTCCTACTCCCTGAAGAAACAGGACTGCAGCTGAACACTGAGACAAAAGAATTATATACCTTAGCTCTCAACAGTAAAGAAATTGAAAGATTTTGCATATTTGGCTGAGACATCAATTCAAATGGAGACAGCAACCAAGATATTCGGAGACTGAGACTGGGAAAGACAGAAATGAAGGAACTAGAAAAAATCAAGTGCATGGATGTTTCACTAGAGGCCAAGGCCAAGATCTTCTATACTATTTTATACCTGATTACTATGCATGGGTGTGAAAGCTGGACATGGAAGAAAGCTGGCAGGAAGAAAATGGATGCATTTAAAACATGATGCTGGAGAACAGCTTTGTTAACACCCTAGACTGACAAAAAGACAAAGAAGTGGGTCCTAGAACAAATCAAGCTGACACTTTTCCTAGAAGCTAAAATGACAAGGCTGTCAAACTTTGTGCACATCATGAGAAGGCAAGACTCACTGGAGAAGACAAACACGCTAGGAAAGGGGATTGACTCCATACAGGAAGCTACAGTTTTGAATTTAAAAGAGCTGGGCAGGGATATGAAGGGCAGGATGGTTTGGAGGGCAAGTTGGAGATGAGTTGACAGAAACACATCCCTAACCCAGACACAAGAATGTCAGTAGGTCTGGCTGGGGTATGGTGGGAGCTGTAGACCATATTTCTGTCTAAACTTGCACATGATGCAAGTTTAAGATGGTGTTGTGTGTGTGCGCGTGTGTGTGTGTGAGGGAGGAGTGGGGAGGCAGAGAATCAGCAGGATCAGAACTGTCTTAGAGAGGGAATTTCACCCTTTCTTCTTCTGCTTCAATTCTACCCACCTCTCCTTTTCCGAAGTTACCATTTGCTTTTGGAGAAAACCCTCATTGCTGTCAAAGATGCAAGAGCATGTCCTGTCTACTTTGATCTCTGATTATGAAACTAAAATGTGTAAGGATGGTTTGGATGAAGACACTGTCCTAGTGAAGGAGCAGTGAGCAGCACTGGAAGAGGGTTATGTCTGAATTGCAGAGCACCTACTTTGCATGCAAAAGGCCTCAAGTTCAGTCCCTGGAACCTCTGGGCAGGGCTAAGAGAAATCCTGCCTGGAACCTTGCAAAGCCTCTAAGAGCTGGATGGACCAATGGCCTGACCAACACAAGGCAGCTTCCTGCATTCTTAATTTTTCTGAGCAATTTCTGTGTCAACTAAAGATCATAACTGTGATCCAAAGAACCACAGAACCAGTACTGTGCACCCAAGAAAACTTAGGAATATGTTTTTCAAAGTGCATTCACATCACAATGCAAGCATCTACACGCATTTGTATATACAAAGTTGTCTGGGTGGTTCACAATCATTAAATGACATGATAAAATGAAACATAAAAGTTAACAACAACAATTTAAGATAAAATAACCACATAAAAGCTAGCAACCATGTAAAGATTTTAAAATACAGGAACAGATTTAAAGCTACAGAAACTGAATGACTAAAAACGCCTGGGTAAGTAAGAAAGTCTTCACCTGCAAGAAATGTTCATGACATAGACAGCAGGCAATATACTGCTTAATATAATAAAATCTCTAAGCAGTTCACATGTAAATATACATTAGATATATACCTATAAATGCAGGGAGCCCTGCAGCACTCAGAGCACACACTGAGGGATAGGAATGTGTGGACGTGGGAAGTGGGATTGTGCCAGTTGGTCCCACGTATGCTGCCTACATCTAAAAGAAGACTCCCTGCACCTTTGCTCCTTGTGTGGAAGAGGGCATTTCAGCAGGAGTCTCTTGCTGTACTTAAACTCTCTCTGCACAGCTGTTAAGTTGCAGGGCCCCTTTCCTCATTAACTAACACAAGGTCACCCTAATCCAGCTCCTCACCAATATATTTTGTGCCTCTATTGGCAGCTGCCAACGGGGCCTATGTGCTTCAGCTCTGTGTATCGCAAGAATGGGGGAACCCATGTCCATGCAGATGTGGAGTTACAATTTCCTCCAAATCTTATCACCAGGACATGATGGAAATGGGAGTCCAGTATCATCTGGGGAACTACACATGCAGGGCAGCCAAGGGAGATGGCCAGAGGGTGAGTTCCCATCCTTGCCTTTACACATCCATATCCACAGAGCTATGGTATGACAGAGCTATAGCTGGCTGGGCCAGCACAGCAAGAGTTCCCAACACTGCTGCTCTGCACCTACGTGTTGGCAGGATAAAAACACCTAGAGATATTTTACCAAGTAATGTTGAAAAAGTAAATTATAGGCTTACCTACACAGACTATAAAATCTAAAAGGAGGATATATTTTAAAAACAAAGCCCTCTTTCCTTTCTATTCTCCCCCTTTCTTGTTCTTTCTGCCACTTCCCTTCCCTTGGTTCAACATGAAATCCATCTTCTGACTAATACACAGCAAAGGAAACTCTAGGAAAGTTGAAGAGCCACTTCCAAATAATATTTTCCACCACATCATCCATATCAAATTTACTCTCCCAGCTGTTTTGAAATAGCAACACTTAAACTAGGACCATCGCTTGTTGTAAACTGCCCCAGGAAATCCCCACCACCACCACCACCACCACCACACAACTATTGTACAGGTCCTGATTAAGATTTTACTTATTGTCCAAGTGCTTGTATTTCCCAACATATTGAAAAAATATCTGTTAACATACCTCTGTGAAAGCATCCCGATTTGCCTGGAGGCTAACCTTGACTACTTCAAAAGGGTTAACCACAACTGCTTCTGTTAGTCCAGATCCCAAGCCAGCAACTGCAAATGTCTAAAATAGTTAAATCAATCAGTTCTCATGTGTACTGCAGTAAAACATCCTGCACATCAGATTCTGAAGTTGAGCATTAAGCTGACTGATATGATGAAAGTAGAGAGACCAACCCTTGTGCAGTAGTATACCATTACTAAACAGCTTTCGTCCTTGATTAGATGTTGACAGTTCATGTAGAAGAAATTACAAAAGCCACAAACCACATTCCAAATATTCAAAATAAAATGTCAAAGTCCTATCAACAACACATTCTCTCTTGCTGGGGAAAAGGAAAAGAAAAAAGCTTTGTGATTGATTTAAGAAATGCATAAGGGGAAAATGTGTGCCCTCTGCATTCTTTCTAGGAACAGTATTACCCCAGGAAGACTAATTTACACATTATTGTATGTACAGCATTGCCACAATGCCAGCTCTTAAAATCAGGAGCTATGTTCCCAGTTCAATGAACAATCTTTGAAAAATAGTTCTCAGGGGAAATTTCGCCTCTGAAAACATGGTGAGGTATTGATAATAATGATAATACTGACTTGCGTATATGCATATAAAAACCGGTTGATGGTTGGGAAATTAATATAATACAAGAAACTGAAGTTGGCACTCAACATATCTATGCAACCAGAGCAAATAACTAAAAAAAATTAAGAAGCACTTTAAACTTTATAAAATAGTTTTCATTCTGTTTAACCACTAATCATGCACAGGCTTTAGGCAGGATTAAGACTACTGGGTGGTATCCAATTAGTTACTCCTGCCAATGGAACTACTTCCATCAGTTAAACATGGAGAGGACTTCAAGGGGGAAAGAGGGGATTGTCTGCTCATGTGACACTGGATTTCACTTATTAATTTCACTGGGATCTATGAGCTTTTCTATGTGATGAATTTATTGTGCTTGTCATTCCCTACAGTTGTTTACTGGTTCATCAGAGGATGTCATGAATGTCCAATTTCTCTTCTATTTTAAAACAGCAAATTGCTTTAGAGCAGAAAAAAGTGGTATTATTTAAGGGAAGTGAAAGAAAACCCCATTTCTACTTGTGTAATATGCTATTCTGCTATGTGACAGTGCTACCTAGGGGATATGTAGTGGCAAATCAGGAAAGGAAATTCTTTGTGTAATGCTTGGATCTCAATTTTGCAACAAAACCAAAAATAAATTCAGCTTATAAACCATGTTGTGCTCCATGCTATTTCCAATGTGAAAAGACATTTTAATCAGTACATTTAGGCTTCTGTAGTCCCTGTTTTTTCCAACAACAGCTGAAGTTTGGGATGGAGATCATTTCAGGATAACTAATTCTGCTTAAGACTGCTGCTACTGCAATGAGCTCTATATGGGACTATAATGAAGTGTATCTGGAAGCTTGAATCAGTGCAAAATGTGGCAGATAGGAAATTAATCAGTCCATGATATACTATCACTCTACTACTGCGAGATTTGCACTGGTGCCAATTGCTTTCCAAGCTTTAAACTACTGTATTTTTCCATGTACAAGACACTGCTTTTTCTTAAAAACATTTACTTAAAAATGGAGGAGCGTCTTATACACCGGGGGGGGGGCATTTGGGGGGGGGAGACTGGCACGCATGGTGGGGGCAGCAGCAGCTTGCTTGCTGGAGATGGCTAGGAAAAGTGGGGGGCGTCCTATACATGGAGGCGTCTTATAGATGGAAAAATATGGTATTTAGGACCTGGCTATCCAAGGGACTGCCTTTTGTAGTAAAAATTCATTCAGTTGTTGAGATCAGCAGGTGAGGCCCTATTAGAGGTCCTCTCCCTTTTAGAAGCCCATTTGTCCAGCTGATGCGAAAGCAACATTATACGGCACAAATATGGATTGTGGGTATTGGGTAATATAGTAATGCAATTAAAAAAACAACCAATGAAATGTTTTATTTTACAAGATTCTGCCAGTACCATTAGTATTAGGCAATTTGGGTATTGCTTTCTATAATTCTGCACCTCCCAGAACACATGCAACTGTGAAGCAATTGTTTTATTGTTTTGGTACAAATGCTGATTCTAAGACCATTGGGAATTAAATTCCACTAAAATCATTGAAGCAGAATTTCAACCAACTAATTTATTTCTGGTATCTAAAAGAGGAAACCAGTAAGTTCATAATAAATTAAAGTAAAGCAAACGTAGCTTCTTTTTTTTTTTAGCTCTACAATGGTAATTTTTAGCATGACAATATAATTTCCTTTCAGGAATCCCCCATCTAAGACCAACTGTATGCTTCTTCTGCATACTTTTAATGTACCAAAGTCAGAGAAAAAGGGATGTTGCTTACCTGTAACTGCTGTTCTTTGAGTGGTCATCTGTGCATTCACACATATATGCTTTTGTTCCTGCACAAAGTCTATTGTCAGGAAGCTTTTATAGCTAAAGCTTTAATTTTAGGTGGAAGCTCCTCTCTTTCCTGTTCCCAGGAAGCATGGAGACCTTTGTCTAGGATTGTTGTGAGTCCATTCCTCTCCAGCACCCAGTCTGTGTATTCAACCTTCCTTGAAGTGCTGAGGGAAGCAGCAGGAGACTTCCAGCACTGCTTAACAGTCTGGAGCACAGCTGGTAGGAAGGGGATGCCATCTCAGAGCCCAGGGGATCGAAAAGACTGAGTCAGCAACCTGGTCCCTGTTAGTCAATTTCCAGTCCCAAGTCAGTGGCTACCTCAAATATCTGCTTTGTGAAGCAGCTCATCTACTCAGAAGGTGATGCTGTGTCCTGGTCAAACACCACAGCAGCAGGGGGCAGCTGTGATGGGTGTGTGTTTGTTTCCCATGCTGCAAAGTACTTGGTAGGCATGCCATGAGGAGAGCGGGCTTTATTTATTTATTTATTTATTTATTTATTTATTTATTTATTATTTTTCGATTTATATCCTGCCTTTTTCCTACAAAGGGCTCAAGGCAGCTTACATCATTTTCCTCTTCCATCTTATCCCCGCAACAACAACCCTGTGAGGTTGGTTGGGCTGAGAGTCTGTGACTGGCCCAGAGTCACCCAGTTGGCTCCATGGCTGAGCGGGGACTAGAACTCAGATCGTCTGAGTCCCAGTCCCATGCTCTTAACCACTACACCACACTGGCTCTGGGGTCAGACTAGATGGCCTGGCAGACCCTTCTGACTCTTTCAGTTTCTATATTTCTACGTTTTTAAGGTCACTCCAAAGTGGAAGGATGATCTGGCCCTTTATTAGAGAGCTCTACCACCCACAGGGCCTTCTTCCATAACTCTGCCTTAACGCAATCAAACTCGGCCCAATGTTTCTTGCTTGTTTCATGAAGGCCTGGCAATGTGCACAATGTGCACCCAGTGAGAGAAGGCAGAAGGGCTGCCCTTTGGATGGGGGCACCTTGGTATTGCAGGTGGCACAGCTCCCAAGACAATGCCAATGCCATCTTGCAGATGGGAAGGAAGGTGAGAAAGCTCTGAAAACAAAAATAGGAAAAATTCACAGGCAACTTGGGAAGCGGTGAGGAGCAGTGGAAAGGAAAGCAAGTCGGGATATATTTTTGTAGATTTTTATTTTTATTTTAGGAGAAAAAGAATGAAAACAGGTTGTTGAAGAGAGAGGAAACAAGGGAGGCTTGTTTTGGGCGGAAAGAGAGTGAAAATGACAGAAAGAATGCAGATTACTGGCTTCTGCCCAAAATGAACTCTTAGCTATAGACGCTTCCTGACACTAGGCTCTGCACAGGTGCAAATACCCATATGTGTGATGCCCAGAGTCCATGAAGAAAAACAAGCAGATTAAAAACGGCTTGGGGGCTGGCTATCTGAAGGACCGTCTACACCCATATATACCTGCCCACCCTCTCACATCAGCTTAGGAGGCCCTTTTACAAGCGTCACCCCTCAGGGAGATGAGAGGGAGTAGCAACCAGGCCTTTACATTGCTGCTCCCATCTTTGGAACTCCTTCCCTAGGGAAATTTGCCTGGCACCATCTTTATTTTCCTTTTGGCGTCAGACGAAGACATACCTTTTTCGAAAAAAAAAAAATGCTTAGTCCCTCAATGCTGTGGCCCTTTTTTCTACTGTTATCATAGATGTTTTAATTTGTTTGTGCTTTAATAGGCTTTTAATGTGTTTTTTTTATGCTTTAATATGTTTAATGTATTGTAAGCTGCCTAGGAAGGCCTCGGCAGTTATAGGCAACCTATAAATACACAAATAAATAAATAAATAAATCTTTCTCTTCATGGCTACCTCTTCATTATGACACTCCTTTCCCTTAAAATTCTGCAGTGGTTGAGCCCAAGGCCAGCTTATAGATATCAGGGTTGCTACCATCACCAGGCTGCCTGGGTTCCCCTTTGTTAAATTAACTGATTCTATGAAGCAGTGTCCGTGTGGCCCAGGCTGATTCATTGCCAACAGCCTAAACAGGCTTTGCTTTTAAGTGTGCCTAACAACTAATGTCTTGTTTTCATTTTAACTCTGGAATAGGCAGTGGGCTCCTAATAAAGGTCAAGACTTGAGCATGCTGGTTAGGCAGCTTCTAAAAGCTGGATCGAGCAATCTGTGCTCCTCTAGAATACAAATGCACAGTTTCCAGGCATGCATTTAGAACGCCGCTTTGACCTTAACAATGCTAGGAAAAGGACTCCTTTTAAGAGAGTCTGCTGCTTTTGCGTTTCTTTACCTATGCTTCGTGTTGTATTGCTTATATTTGTGTTTTTATCTTGTTTTCTTGTTTCTTGGCACCTCACCCAAAGAAAGGGTATCTAGCAAATATGGTGAATAAATTTTATGCAAACTGCCAGTGACAATTATGCTGCCAGCAAAAACAGAAACAAAAAACTTCTCTGAGCAGTTTTGTTTTTTTGTTTGGATTGCTGGAAGGTCCTACTACATGGAGTGGCATTTGAAGCTGATGAATGGGTTAAATTCTCCTACATTTTCTCTGCTCTGCTTCATCAGTTCAAGCCCTTTTGACTGCTACAAGTTCCCTAACAAGCCTTTACTTTTCTGGGAAAATAAGCATTTTATTTTTGTTTCCCTTTTGAGTGAGTTCTGCCTAATTCAGAGTTGTTCTCACTCATCTGGATATATACCCTTGCTTTCGTCTACCACCTTGCTGCCCAACAGCTATTGCATCATTACTGCCGTACCCTTGTATCATGATTTTATAATACAAGAAGCATCCCACAGTCCATGAAGCTCAGTGAACCATTGTGCTATTTATTCAAAGCACATGGAAAATTTTTCTCCTTGTGCCATACATCTGCAAGACAAATTAGAGCTTTCTCTGTTTAAAAGGTATATGGTAATGTTAAGGATTTATCTCATGTTCTCTGGAAAAGATGAAATCCACAAGAAGAAAGGATGAGGGAGGGAGGGAGGATATGATCCTTCAGAAACAAGAGACAAATGCCATAATAATGGTGATATAATATATAATCCAAGAACTGAAAAGTGATATTATGTTTCAAGTAGATTTTCATTCCTATTGGCTGATTATGTACATTCTAATAGAAGCCCATGTGCTTTCTGTGAAAAAATATGCTTTCTGTGTTTATCACAAAACTTCCACTGAAAAAGCCAAACTTCAGAAATACTTCCAATTGCAAACGCCTTTAAATAAGAAAACTATAATCCAGATGCTCAGGATTTGTTTTTAGTATACTTTCCAATTTGCATTTTGGTAACATAAAAATCAACTACATGGATTGATACCTGGGTGGCCAAGTTCCTAGACCCTATGAGATACATGCTACCCAGGAATCTAACAGCACAATTTCTTCTTCATATTTTATACACACAAATAACTGGGCCGCAGGCCAATAACAGTGGTAGCTTCACTTATGCACACGAAAAAAGCACCCCCCCCATTAAAATGGAAGTTTCCCGATAAGTCCCTTCTAACAGTCCAAAAAATGCATGAAAGACTGAAGGAATATTTGCTCTGCCCTCATGTGTGAGTGGAAGCGTTTCTACTAGTGCAAAAAACCTTGCAAAAAACCTGCAAATTTTGCCCAACTTCTCTCCAACATGGGAAATGAATGCTCACTCCCAGTGAATCTTTTTTATCCTCCCTATAAAATAAAAAGAACACAGAAGAAGCCCCATACCAATTGAATATTCTCACTTACCAATGCTGGTGTCAGTGAAACATTTCCTAGCAATTTCTTGTATTGTTCAAAGGTGAAAAACTGCAAAGTAAATATAGTGAAATTTAAAACTTGCGAATGGGGTAGAGATTTTATCACTGAAAGCTGTTTACCTTTATTAGCCTCACAGAAGACAAAGAAAGGAAGATCTGATCTGCGTGTACATTGTTGAGCATTTAGTGCAGCACACATGGCTTTGGTTAAACTTCAATCAAACAAATTTTGTTCTCAGATTATTTTAAAAACATTTATCAGAAATGTACAGAATAAGTCTATAAAGATATGATATAAATACTATTTCTTATTTATGGCAGCTCTGCATCTCAATACATTCCTCTTTCTGATATCAAAAAGAAAATAACCATACATTCCAAACTTTTTAAAAATTAACAGTACCTGTCATGTGTACAGCTTTTTGGATTCTCCTTACAGAATATGAAATATCTCCCTATACATTTAAGTTGCTGACTACAGAGCACCTTCCCCTTCTTATTCTTACGATTCTTACTTTATCTTCATGACATGTCAGCAAAAAAGTGAGTAAAATACATGGATGCTCTGTTGCGCAATACCGTATTATAGCAGTATTTTCACTGATGACAAAGTGGTTCAGAATGCTACAGATTTTGCTGCAGGGAAGATTCCTTTAAAATCTCCTAAGAGCACGGTTATTAGATAAAAAAGATATGGTCCTTCAATATTTCATTTATCACTAACATGCCAGTTTTCCAAAATAAACAACCAGTGCACAAGCAGAAGGCACAACGGAACTTTCCTGCCCACTCCTACATACTGCAACTTTCTGAGGCCCCTTGTGCAATGGACTGTGCAGAAGGAACGGACAATAATTTGTTGGAGGCACTGGGCACGGCCTGGGCATGTCCAGAGCTTGTCAACGGTTTGAACCAATTGCCAATTGCAAAAACATGTATTGATTGTCTGTATTGATGGTATAACTACCCCTCCCCCATTCTTATCCAAGGAGCTCCATGTGATGGGTAGCCACAAGGCCACTATTCTTTCCATGACTGTGGGGGCAGCCTTCCAGCTTCGCCTGTGGATGCCCCGGTTCATATCACCAGTTCATTTCACCACCAATCTGGCAGTGCTAGGAGCTGGCCAGAAACCACACATAGGCCCAGGGACCATCTGATGGGGCCACTGGATGTATTAAATGGCCCAAATCTCTTTCCAGTGTAGTCCTGAGAAGAAAAAAGAAGGGGTGAATTCTGTGAACAGTTTTATCCTCCATGGGAGAGATCACCTTTTTGGCTTATTAGCTTATTGCTTTTTTGTTTTTGCTTCATTATCCCTGTACAAAAAAGTACAAAGCTGCTTATAGGAGGCAGCTTACACACTCTACCCTAAAGAAAGTTTGAGGGGTGATTTTTGGTAAGGCCACAGCAGGGTAGAAAAGGGTTAATCATCCCTCCCCCCAATCTCTGTATGCTGGCATTCCAATAAAAAATTAGTTCACCTGAAATGGTAGCTTTTTGGGGGTGGGGTGCAGGGGGGAAACCAAACTAAACTCCAACTACAGGTTTAGCATCATGTCTAGTTTGGTATGTGACATAGTGTCACTTAAAATAAATGTTTTCAAATGCCTAAATGAAAGTTATTAATTCCCTTTTAAAGGCTGCATAGTTCTTTGACTGAAGCTCAGAAGGTGAGTCTGAGGGGTCAATCTTATTTTAAAATCTATATCGTGTTCATGGAATAGCTGTTATAATCAGACTCTTGTTGGAAGCTTCTCCACAACCTACTTGTGGTAATCATGGCAACATTTCAAGATGTTGCCCTACTTTCAACTGTTCTAATATAAAACTGGCAGTGTTTGACTGTACACAGTACTGACCCGCCACCTATTAGGTTGTCCACCATACTGGCAATGCCGCAAAAGCTGATGCTGCATAGTATTTGGTCACATCTGGCATCCTTATTGTGTGCAAGGTATCCTTTTTGTGTGCAAAGTTTATGCCACACCTCATTTTCTCCAAACACAACATCAGTCGATTGCTACTATGATTTTAACTTCCCCTTGTTTGTCTCTAACAGAAATAAATATGGCAATTGCTTATTTACAAATGCCCTGTGAACTATCACTTGAACCAAGTGCCTCGTGGACTCAGACCTGGTGTGTGGACTCATCCCAGATCCTACTTAGGATGCAGAAAGAAGCAAGGATGTGCAATATTTGCATTTGCCATTTAGCTTTCTGACTAGCCAAACCAGATCAAGTATAAACAATGGGACTTACATTCCTGGTCATCCAAGCCAGAGGTGGGCAAAAGGTAAATCTGGATTTACCAATAAATCTCTGGGTGATTTACAATAGATCAACAATAATGTCTGGACCGTCCACTGCAGAAACAAAATGACATCTGCCAATTATGCTGATGCAACGGAAAAAGCTTGGGAAAACCAGAGATGGCTTTTGTGCAGAAGGACTGTGCATTCCATGCAGTTCTGCTACTCAGAACAAATCCTTGGGCTCAAACAACTTTAATTCTAACCATGTGTTTTTGCCCAAGCACTGGTAGGTATAAAAAGACTCTAGTAAAAAAAAGCCAGTCTGATCCCTGCAAACCTGAAGTCTGCCCATTCCTGGTAGAAGCAGCACCTTCTGTGTCCCATGATCATTCTGCACACCTGTCAGTTTGATGTCACCTGTCAGCCGGGCATCTCTGGTTTGACCATACCTGCCCTGTCTGATTCTAGGCTACAACCTGAGTCTAGTTTTGACAATAAGCTCTCTTCTACAAAATCATACTTCCTCCAGACTTTCTGCATGTCATTTCACTGCCTTAAATGTGGAACTTCATTTTACATTGCATCCATAGTTCCTAAATGAGTGGTGGAAATAAACCTTTCGTGAAATCCCATGAGTGTAACGCAGAATCCCTGAACTTGATTCCAAAGAGGCTTGAGGAAACAGTTGCTTGCTAATATCCTCTTCACTCTGTTGAGCTTTCCTTTCTTACATTTCTTTCTCTCTGGCTGTTACATTTTTGCTAGGCTATTTTGGGGGACATCTGGCTATATAAAAATACTGTGCACACTTATAAAACTTCAGATAAAGGCATCACACAGTGGATGATAATGTTTGGCAGAGGGCAGCATGGCTAGACGTTGGAATCAAACATTTTGATCCAAACTGAAGAAGCTGGAAAGAGTCAGGCGAAATTTACAGCACCTGCAGCAAGGGCCTGTGCCTTCTTGTAAATGTCACATCAGACCTTGAGAGGGCTAGCTTTTGGGGGAGATCTCCTTTTCAGCTTGCTGAAAAATAATGCTATTTTATACAATGCACAACAGTTGTTATAGTTCTTTTAAATAATACAGTTTCCGTTTGCTTCAGTCATTTAAGTGTTTTAACAGATTGTACCCTTGGAAGTTGTCCTTTTTCCAGATCATCCTGTATAAAAACATTTTTTCTGTATTTTTCTTGCAGTGTTTAACTCTTCTTTCAAACTATGTCCGCTATGCATAGGGGTATGTCCATGTCTGTTTAATTGGCATTGCAGAAGCAGTATATACCTTCAGTATGTTTTTGGGAGAAGGAACAATGGGATAGTCGATTGTTCCTTCAATGTGCCTATACTGGGGTGTGTGTGGGTGTGTGTGGGAGGGAGGGAGGGAGGGAGGAGGCAGACTGCATGTGTCCCTGAACAACTGCAAGATTTTCAGGCACCCCTTCTGGCTCATCAACTGACACAGTTCCTCACGCTCATATATCTAGTACAGCAGTTTCAACTTGTTTCATCCTATTTTTATTGCACCTGCATTATAGCCAGCAGATGGACAGAAGCACTTTAACATCAGCCAAGGAGAGACACTGGGTGCAGCACTGCTTGGGTCACTCTGCGTTCAATTCCAGATTGTTAGAAGCTACCCAATTAAGCTGAAACTTAATGCAATTCCATGTGTTGCTCCTGATTCTTCTCTTTGTGCCTTACTGTGGGACACTGTAGCTGTTGAATATAATTATTGTAAGCTATTGTAAGCCTCCTGGAAACCTTTGTAAATGGGTGACAGATCAAAAGTATAAAATAAATAGGCAGGAATAAATGACAGATAGGGCTTGCTGAATGCAAGATCTGTCCCAGATGGCCACTAGAAATCCCCTTTTTCCATTAAATGTACCATTTTTTCTAGGAAGCAGATTGTCTTGGACTACCTTTGAAGCAAAATTCAGCATTCTAATTGCAGAGAATGTACCATAACAATTTCAATACTACCATGAGTCAGTGGCTAAGGCCCAGGCACCTGTCTGTATCTGATAGCTTGCAGTATATAAGACCCAGTGTAGTACAGTGATTCAGAGCACCAAAATGGGTATCAGAAAATCTGGCTTCTAGTGCCCACCTGAACATGAAACTCACTGGGTGACTTTGAGCCAGTTGCTGTCTCTCAGTCTCACCTACTTCACAGGATTGTTGCTGTCAGGATAAAAAGGGCTCATTGCAAGAAGAAGAATGGCAGGATATAAATGCATGCTGCTGCTGCTGCTGCTAATGATGATAATAATACATTTGCTAACGACTATGGCACAGCTACTATGAAATTTGTCATATTAGACTGCTGACCATGTTGTAACTTTTCCCTTTTTATAATATTAAAAAATCACATGAATATTGTCAATCTGATGAGTTAGTTCATAGAATGAAGTAGGATTCATTATGATAAAAATTATGCTGCTCACACATTCTTGGTCAATTCATTCAGGCAATAATCTTTACCAGCACAATCTAATACATTTCTTACTTACACATCTTACATGTATACATGTCTTACTTATTTACTGGTACAGGATTGCTCTGTAAATCACTGAAGGTAAACAATCAAAGGGATCATGAAAAAATGAGTTGGTTGAGGACTATGGCCTCAAGTAACATAAAACCTAAATGGCAGAATAAATATCAAAACAGATTTTTATATTGTGCATCAACTAATGCATGCAACATTTTCCCATTCAGTGTCACACCTAACCTTTTCATGGAATTTTAGGTATTCCTTAATGTTTTCCATACCCTCCATGTATATTACCTTGCAATCTTTCATTCTTCAAAAGTTGCCTTCAAAATGCCAATTGCTTCCTAAAGCCATAAACAGAACTAATAACTCTGTTTCATATTAGTTGGACGATTCTGAAGCAGAACAAAAGCTAACTGAGTACCATTAAACTCGAAATGAAAAGTTTAGTTGGACAAACCAACTGATAATAAATAAGTTTGTCAGAAAATTCAGCCGTGTTGCTTCCTTTAATCGCTTTATTTGAGAGCTCAAAATATCTTTATTAGAATATAGTAGAGAAATTTTTAGAGCTCTTTTTGTTTTGCTAAAAAATAGATTTCCTCCAAAAATCCAAGGGAAAATGATAGCAAAATATATGTCTTCATGTATCTAATACCCACTGCTGTCCATCTGGCAAAGATACATGTAAATCTAAGTTCCGCAGAGGGGAAAAAAAGACAAAGCACTTACCATATGTCTCAATAACATTAAGGTAAAAAATCTGGGAACACATGCAAAATATGTATTTGCCCAACAAGATCATCTGTTAACCATTGTACTGGCACTGTTCATGTCTTTTCTTCAAGTCCAGACTAAATCAGGGCTATAAAGTTTGGCTTTTCATCCTTCAGAATTACCAGCTTTCTTTCGGAAAAGTGGGGAGAGGGAGAAGAAAGACAGAAAGAGGCACAAACGGACAGACAAAGGATCTGAACTCTTCAAAGTGAAATTGCCTTTGACACATGGCGTCCAAGTGACATATTACCTTAATTATAGTGGCTTTATTTTTACATGCAAATGGATTTACCAAAGGAATAGACAATTATATTTTTCTTCTCAACAGGAACTCTGCCTTGTTTGTTTATCCGAGTGATCTTTTATCAGCACAGCAGTTTTATAATTCAAGGCAGCCTTTCCCTGCAAGTTTCTGAGATGTGAATGGCAGGTACAGATGCAGCTGTGCAAAATTACCACGATAGAACTTGAATTGCAGTATTGAATTTGGATTCCAAAGGACATCTAGTATATCCCCCACCCCGAAACAAGAAATTAGAAGACGTCACTTTCACATCTCTAGGTAACCGGCTCCTAGTAAATTGGGGAAATCGACAATTTCCTAGTGAATAAATCACAATTTAGCGCTAAGACTAAGTTCATGGAAAAGTTCTCTGAAGCAAATTGTCCTAGTTCAGTCCAAATGTAATATAACCATTAGAAGTTTGAACAGTGTGTATGTGTATGAGTAGACAGTTGCACGTAACCACAAGATCTGTTTCCTTATCCAACTCAAGCACTCCATGTTTCTTTCTTTCTTTTTTTCAATCCAATTTGAGCAAGCGGTCTCACTGTTCTATCTACAGTGAAGGCATTCCTCTGGCCAACTTTCAAGATATATATTAGAAGGGAAGATGGAGCTAGCAAAATAGATAATGTGCTTCAGTTCACTTTAAACCCCCTCAACCCCATGGTGGTCTAAAGTGGACTAAGCATTTTATCTGACATTCTGGATTCCACAATTATTTCTGGTTCAAATCTTCCTATGCTTACAGACCTATAGCCAAAATGCCGTCACTCACACACAAGAAGCAGACCCCAGCAGGCTTGAAAGAGGGGCATTCTAAGGCTGTCAGAAGCTGAAAACATCTTTAAGAAAAAGCCCTAAGGGGGGCACCATAAAGAGCAGCCTCATAGGTCCTCTATGGCACAAAATGCTGACTGAGAGAAGGAATGGAACAGAGTAGCTGAGGAAGGAAGAGGTGCATAGGTATTAAAGAGGTAGAATCAACAATCCTATTGTCTCAATAGGTCATTTGCTGACCAACCTTAGAAGACATATTTAAATATCCTTATGCCTGGAAGTGAGAACTGCTTATATACATCCATACAGTATTCAAAGATTTAATGTGGCTGGAACTGGGGACACTTGTGTTCACCCTACTCCACCAAAAAGAAAAAATAAAGAAGTCAACATGGGAAAAACAAAACAAAATGGAGAGCCACATCTGCACAAAGCAGTCCCAAGAATGACCCTGGCAAGAGGATGAAACTTGGGAGTGGAAGGGTTGGAATTCTAAAAGGAAGCACTTCACACTGTGACTGCTTGTGGTTTCAGGGCCCCACTTGCAACTATTCATTTCTCCATCCTTTTCATGAATAATTCCAAACCTCCATGTTCCAGTGTCGCAGTTCAGCTTTTTAAAGGAAATTATGTAAGAAAATTACATGACTCAGTCTACCCAGGTTTTCTGAAGCTGAATCCTGATTGGAAAGGTTAGAGTCTCCGTGTAACCTTTCCCTGAGTCAATGCACAGACCTGAGCCCCTTAAAAATCATTTCGAACAGTCTGCATGTTATAATTTATATTTCTGCTTTAGTACCTGTTATTGAGATGGAAAGCAAGGTATAAATATTTTATATCAAGAAGCCAAATTAAATGCCCTCCTTAGTCTGGAGCAAATAGTTACTAGAATAGGCATAACAGTAGATCAATAAAGCCATTGTGTAAATGAGACAAGTTGCATCTGAAACAGTCAACACTCTCTTGTGGGTACATGGCCAGGAGATGGGGCGTAGCTGGCATAAATCCCCTGGCTGTTGCTGGTGGAATCAAAATGCTTTAGATTCCATGGAACCCAACCAAAGACACTTCCTTTTTGCCAGTATTATCATCAGGGGTTCACCAAGAGCAGTGGGGGTTAGCATGCCTCAGTGGGGATGCCTGCAAGAATTGGCAGAGAGGATAAACCACTAGATTCTATCAGCCCTGCGACACCCTCCTGGGGACTCCAGGATTGCACCCTGAATCAGACAGAATTTTCTCAGGGCTTTTCAGAAAACAAAAAAAAATTGAGTTCTAAAATAATCTAAGCTCTTTCTTTTAGATATGATTACAGCTCTTGCTACTCCTGCTACTATGTCTTACATTGTTACTAGCACACATAACAAATAATAGCAGAAGTAGAAAAAGTAAATTTACATAGTGTGTAAAGAAAGAAGAGAAAGGGGAGAAGGACTAGGATGCACGGGAGAAGGAAACCCTTCCTGGATCTAACCGAGGGTCCTGCTAGGCTTGCACTGAGGGCTTCCTAGACTTCATTTGGATTTAGCGTGATAAGCAAACATTTAAGTTCAGTCGGTTATAATCCTGTTGGCAAAGGCCTATATATTATTGGGAAGAGCAACCCTAACTTTGTGGGAGGAAATGGCAGGGAATGAGGTGGCAGATGGTTGTCATTTCCAAATCCAGGCTGGCTGACACTGGGAGAGTCTTTCTCCCTCATTCCAGCAGTTTGTTCTTTAAGAGGGGGAGGGGGGAGGGGGAGGGGAGGGGAGGGGGAGGGAGAGTTTCAACGCATGTTCCAGTCCCCCATAGTTGAGTGGAATAATCTGCTGGACTCTTAGGGGAATGAAAGGGCATGGGATTCAGCAGTTCCAAGGCTGCCTCCAACCTGAGCCTGCCCATCATCCCGAAAATCCCATTCTGGGTCCTGTGGGTGCAGAAACAGAATCACTGAATGAACAACTTTTCCTGCTAATGGAGCTATTCTCTGCTGTTGGGGAGGCACCTTCCCCACAGACTCTCTCTTCCATCATCACCACCACCATCATCTTGCTGTTTTACATCTACAGTACAGCTGCATTCCACAACTGGTACCCTCCAGATGTTTTGGACTTCAGTCCCAGTCCACACAGGCAACAGCCAGGAATGCTGGGAGTCATAACCCAATATCTCTGGAAAGCATGAGATTGGGAAATACAATACCATACGCTGCTTTAATGCTGAAGGGTTCTACCTTCAGTGGAGGCTTAAAAATTATCTTTAATAAATAAAAAAAATAAACTGGGCTTATGAAATGCAATTCCCCCGCCCCCCCAACCGTTTTCAGAGAGTGAAAAGAGAGTGAATTACCTTTACTGCCCTTTTGGGTGTTTCAGCCAAGATTGGAGGGAGTATGCCTTTGTAGAAACCAAACAAACTATTGAAGGAAGGAAGAAAGAGACACACAAAAAAGGTTACCTAGGTATGTATGAATGTTAGCCAAGTGGTAAGTCTGTTTTCTTTTCAGAATGAAACAACTAATCTCAAGGCATTCTTAATTATTCAGAACAACCCTTATTGTCAACAACCGAGTTCTGTTTTCATATGTATTATATAACAATTGCTGCAGTCCTTAAATTACTTATCCTGAAGTAATGCCACAGACTTCAATAGCACTAAACTGGAATAAATGCTTTCAGGACTGTGGCCCAAATCATACTTTACAGCACTGAAACCATAAGCAGAATTGCCAGTGAGTAAGCACAGCCTGCGTAGATTGGATTACATTTTAAGCCAAGAAGGGAGAATGTCTTTTTGTTAAGGAGGAAAAAGAAAAGGTCATTCATTGTTTGCTATCTAAGAGGCAGATTGCACACAGACAACTATTTAGATAAAATGGAAATGCTTAAAAGAAAAAATCCTGAAAAATAAAAGGTATAAATTTGGTGCATGTGCAATAGGCATAGTTCTATAGGCAGGAACAGTGAGTTGACAAAGTAATTTTATGATTAGGTTTGTGCATATTTTCCTTAAACAAATGCAGTACAATTCTTTATGTCATGTCAAGTAAATATGGGCTTTTGTTTTAAATCTGAGTAGAATTACATTCTCCACATGTGGCCCTTTGCCACCATTTTGTGACTGGCATGACTTTGACATGTGGCTTGAATCGATGTTACTTAAGAAAGAAAAAATGAAAGCAGATGGTAAAAGTAGGTAAGCTGGCAACGAAGCAATTATTACAAATGCAACAGTACAGCTCATCACCTGTCTTATTAAAAATCAGCTGACAGAAATTTCCATCAGAAAGTCCAGGCTTCCACTTCCATGAACAGCATGGCTTCTTCCATTTGTGGAAGGGACTCAGATCTGGAGGACGTTCTCCACTGGAAGGTGGGGGCATTTTCACTGATTGGCATCTTCAGGCCCAGCAATACTTCTCACAGGTCCCCCAGCCACCAGGAGCAGTTCTTTAATGGCTCCAGCAAAAAGGATGACCTGCCCACCTCCCTTCAGAGTGTGAATGGGACCCCCTGACAGGAATTCTGGACCCAAAGTTGAAAGCCATGTGACACTGTCAATAATGGATGCTAGTTTTCTTCAGAGAGTAGGTATGTTACTCAATTGAAGCAAAAAACATGGTCTCATAGCACCCTGAAAGCTAACAAATTTAGTCTGGCAAAAGTTTTTGTGGACTATAGACCACTGTACCAGATGCATCGAGTATTATGGAAAGTTTCAAGTTTAAATACAGCACATACCGGGGGCGGGTGTGTGTGTTGGAATTATAAACAGTGAGGTCAGAAGTAAATTATATGCAGAGAGTAGACAGGGACCAACAGTGGTCATTCACAGTGTTGCTGTTGCAAGCAGTAGCTTGTATAACACCCATCTGACCTGACTTGTCTGCACTTCAAACTTCCATGAATTGGTGATGAGTTAAGCATGATTCAAGTGTGAAGCTGAGCTGTGCAATCCAAGAGAAAGACCAACCCAGCGCACATGAAAATGGGGGAAACAAAATGTGCCTCAGATCTAGGATCAAGGCAAACAGCAGACTGCACATGCACTCTGAGCAATGAAAGCCAAATATACTGAAATATAACCAGTACATGCAGCTATGGAGAGTTATCCTCTGTAGAAATATTTCTGTAGAGGTAACCTTCTCAGGAGGTTATTTGGGACACCTGCCTCCTAGAATAGATTTTCGGTTCCAAAAAAGCTTTGGTGTTTGTATTCTTTTGGCATGCACATCAGCATGTGTGAGATGATCACACAGACTTATTGTCAACTTTAGAACATTTTGTTCTATCTTACTGTGATGTAAGTGTCCTTGATCCAAGTTTCCTTATTGATACTTATGCTGAAATGGGTAATAAACAAAACTTGGATCCATAAAGCAAAAGCTGAATGTCTGATTCATTAATGGTGGAGTCAGAAATGACTTTGAATATGTGACAGAAAAAGAACTGGAGTCAGGTGATGGTAACCATGAATCTTACCAGATTCATGTTCATTCATAGTACCTTGTGCGAAGGGAAGGCACTCCTGCACTTGGGCTTTCCTCTTCCTTCTCCCTGTTGCAGCCACTGGCATTCCACTTAAAGCCCTCTTCCAAGGTTCAGAGGACCTTCTAGAAAGACTTAAGGCTGCAGTGTGTAGAAGGAATTAGAACAAACCAGGCAGAAGCAGCTTTCATGATTTCTGGATTAAAGCCATTAGTTTCTCTAAGATGTAATTTATAAACAGTTCTCTATTAAGACTGCACATTTATTTTCCAGATACCATCTGTTTTTGGTCTGTAGATTTCTCTCAGCTACTCTTCAGGTAGCCACCTAATTCCTTTCTTAATTTGCTTTGCCCCGTTCCAAAGTTAGGGGATTTGAGGTGCCATTTGAGAATTAAACACAACATTGCACCAGCAATTTCTGCTCATGCAACAAGACTTTGTCGTCCTCCCTCTTGTTCCTTCCAGATCTGATCCAGAGGGTCCTCCAATCTGGAATAGATATGGAAATACATGCATGGATATAAGGGGGAGAGAAAATATATTCTGCTAGCGACCAATGGATAAAACTTAATGGTCACAGATTTTAATGAGGTAAAAAAAATTCCAAACACTCAGTTTAAAAATATATTTAGCTTCCATGGGGGGAGCACATGTCCAAGATAGTGTCAGGCAGAAGCACTACATGCAGATGTTCTAAAGCAGTTATTTTATGGCGATTGAGCAAACTGGGAGTCAAGAAAGAAGCCAGTGAGAGGTAAGTGGCTGGCAATTAGCTGGTCAGCTACAGCAGAAAAAAAAGCTTTTTTTAACTGCTTGTAAATCAAGAAGTAGACTTTAAATGCCTCTGAAAAACATACAGTTATGACCAATCTATATTTAATAACACCATTACACCAATGACTGACATGCAGATGGTTCTACAGGTCCCATGACAAATTCTAGGCTATAGTTCTCTTAATTTTTGCTGTTCTAGGAATAGCATAGTAGCATCAGCCATACACATGTAGTGCCAAATTTTCAGTACCAAAGAGAAGAATTAAAGTATCCACATCTCTACATTCTGCAAAAGAGAAAGAGTTAACAGCTACAACTTTAACTGAAGCCCAGTTCAAATGCATTATTTTGTTTCAGCATTAAGCATCTAAATGAACATCACCATTCAATTGTGTTCTGGGCAGCCACCCAAATTCGTCTTTGCAATAGTTGATTTTGAAACATTACAGTCAATCATATCTTCCCAATTTGTTCTTCTTTAAGGCTTTAGGCATCCTTCTGGTTTCCATTTCTTGTTTGGAAGCCTTGAGTCATCCATTTTGGCAACATGTCCAACCCAAATCAGTTATTTTCTCCAAATTATATTGAAATTGGGATCTTGCTTAGTTTGTTGTTTTCCTCCCCTGTCTCTCACATAATTTTCCCTTTAAGGATCAAATGCAAAGCTGATTGAAGGCATGCATATAATATCCTCTTTCTTCAGTTTCTGTCAAATCCAAGCCTGTTACCCACATAGTTCCATAATTGAAACAACGACAGAAAGTACCTTAAGGGCCCTATTCACTTGCTTTGCATGAATCGGGGGTTCACATAATTTAGATGAGTTACAGAGCTCTGCTCTGAAGATGCCCAGAATATTCGGTGCAAAATGCGCAATATTACTGGCATTCAGAGGACTTTTTCGGTTAGGCAAATGTGAGGTTATATTTGTTACACTCCTATGTTGGGCCACACCCTATATAAACCATTTGTTATTGATGGTAAAATGAATGAGTTTGCTGTATGTGTCTTCAATTAATTTCAGTTTTTACTAGCTGTATGATAGCCATGTTGGAGTATGCATAAATTTACACATCATTGTCGTACAGCTTTGTAAGCAAAGAGATTATAGTGAATGTAATCCTGCCTGTAGCATTCTGAACCATGGTTCCATATTTAGTTGCAAATCTGTACAATAAATACATCTTTCTCAGAAGTAAAGTTAAGTATAATGGAATAATAGCCATAATGTTAGAGGATTTGCATTCTCCTGATGGGATGTTAAAAAATCTGCAGCTGTGATACATTCAATAGTATTCATGGAGCTATTCTACACTGGGTCAACAAGCTTCCAGTTCCACTCCAGCTCATGATCCAGATGCGAAACACTTGATCCCCAGTATTCAGGACACAATTCTCTTCTGCTAAGAATCTTTTAAAGATATTCTTTGATTCCTCAGATTTACCAAACATACTTGATGGCTGGTTCTTCTGATATCCTATAATGATGCCAACAACTTATGAGACTTCATGTTCAATATGTATCAGATCAAACAAGATGCCAACGAAGATATGTGCAGTTGTAAAAATTCACATGCACAAATGTATATTTGAACTTTGTGTTCGACATTTCATTTTCAAAAGCTGAGTGGCAAGATTGGCCAATTGGACAAGTATCAAAACCTGTGAGTATTCACTGTGGGTGTACTGTGACTCTGTGGACATGAATTGATGCTGTGCTCAGTAAAAAGGAAGCCTGATATCTTAAGTAATGTTCATGCCACCATCTGCTCACTTTCCGAAAAAGTGCTCTAAACACAGACACACAAAGAGAAAGAAACATATGCTGTGCAAAAGAAGAGCCTATCCAAGAATGAGAGAATGTTAATGAAATATATTTTTAGACTACTCTTTAAGATTCCAGCATAGAGCTGGCTCAGGAACTACCAGGTTGGCCAAAAAACTGATGAATAATCAGCATCAGTCTAATTTATTCAGAATGACAGTCATCACCGTATTTATAGCATATGGGTCAGATTAAGTAGTAGTTGTGCGCCATCTTCCATGTGACTTTGTTATTCTTGCAGAGAACTGAGCCTCTCTTCCATAGTTATTAATCACCCCTCAATCTCTTGCTCAAAACCCTTACTAATTTTTGGCTGCCTGTTTCATAC